AATTAAAAACTTTGCTATTATCTTTATCTTTTCACATCCATGCTACTCATACTGTCATACAACATCTTCAATCCATCCGTCAAACAACATCTAACAATTACAAGCTCACCATATCAAGCAACCAATAAACAAATCACAATTGAATACCAATATATCCTGGCTTTGCCTGGATGCTTTTGTTGAGCCTGGCTACAAACGTCCTAGTAATTAAACCGGAACAACCATTGGTTCTGACTTTGAAAAGCAGATGCACAGTGAAACTTAAAAGTGTTTTAAGTGGCTATTGTTGATGGACAGATTGAGAAATATTGAGAAACTTCACAGTACAGGGAGAACCTGAATGTGTAATATGTACAGATGCAGTGCTAGTAGACATGGTGCACCTCTTTTTCTCATGTTCTTTTGCAACACGATATTGGAATTATCAGCAATATTTGTACACAAGGAGGGAGAAATAATATTTTGTAATTAGATGGCACCTTGCACATTGAAATTATAACATATGGATTTCAATTAACATGTAAATCATAAAGGAACAATTACATAATATATTTTGTAGTAAATTTCACAAAACTACTTATAATTTGACCAAATTATTGAAAACTATAAATTAACATTAAATTTATCATAAAACTACATGTTTAAGGCTAATTACAACAAAACTACATATTTAATAATGAAATTATCATAATTTTGATGTTTAAATCCTTAGCTCCAAGTTTTATGATTAAATTGATGCTAAACTTATAGTTTTGTGATAATTTTGTTACTAAATCTGTAGTTTTGGGATCTCCACTTTCAATCTACGGTTTTATAGTAAAGTTGATGTTAGATATGTAGTTTTATGATACGTCATCTTAAATCTGTAGTTTTGCGATAGTTTGGTCAATATACTTGTAGTTTCGTGTAATTTACTCTCTATATATTTTGTAACCTATGCAGTTGAACAATATATGGATCAAATGTCTCAGGTGGTCACTACGAAATGACTAATCCAACAGCCAAGACACAATGATGCAGAATAGAAAGCTTACATGATGCTACCTCCATCATAAAATATAAGAAATTTTATCCACATAGTTATATGGCAAAATCCTTCATATTTTGGAACAAATGCAGTAGCATTTCTTTAAAGAACCATCCAAGGGTATCAATAGGGGCGGAACTTTTTCCTCAAAAAATAGGGGGTACGGTGGAGCTAGGTAGGAGAGGAGGAGTGCTCAAGAATCCGGTCAAGAAAATCTTTTAGCTATAGTCATCTATTTTCGTCATATGTGCACCCTCTCAATCCAAACTCAAGCACTCATATCAGACTAAACTTGATCTAAAGTAGTGTAAAGCAAGTGAGTAGCACCCCTCACCATTTTGTTGTAGCTCCACCCCTGGGTATCAAAGACACGCAATGGTGCTTTTCCTATTATGGTTTATATCACTACTAGAAAAAGTATCTTTCCAGGCGGCAAAAAGTGATTTTTGCAGGCGGAGGTACCCTCCGCCTGTAGGTCAACGACTGTGAAAATCATCCATTTTCGCAGTTGGGGCAACAACCCGCTTGCGAAAATACATTCAAAAAAACAAAAAAAAAATCACGGGCGGCGGTCGCCGCCGCTGTCCTCCTCCGGCGTCGCCGCGCCGGGCAAGAGGGGAGGGGAGGGGAGCCGCGCCGGGCATCGTTGTCGCCGCCGCCCTGTGCCGCCGTCGTCGTCGTCGCCGCCGCCGGCCTCCCCCCTCCCTCTGGCCAGATCTGGGAGGGAGGGGAGAGGGGAGCCGTCGCCGCGTCCCCCGCGCACGCGTCGTCGTCGTCGCCGCGGCCCCGCGCCGTAGCCGCCGCCGCCGGCCTCCCCCCTCCCTCCTCCGGCCAGATCTGGGAGGGAGGGGGGAGGGGAGCCGCCGCCGCGGCCCCCGCGCGCGCGACGTCGTCGTCACCGCCGCCCCGCGCCGTAGCCGCTGCCGCCGGCCTTCCCCCTCCCTCCTCCAGCCAGATCTGGGAGGGAGGGGGGAGGGGAGCCGCCGCCGCGGCCCCCGCGCGTCGTCGTCGCCGTGGCCCTGCGCCGTCGTCATCGTCGCCACCGCCGCCGGCCTCCCCCCTCCCTCCTCCCAGATCTAGGAGGGAGGGGGGAGGGGAGCCGCCGCCGCCACCCACGCCATCGTCTCCGCCGCCGCCCCACGCCGCCCCACGCCGCGCACCGCCCCGCTGCCGGACGCCGCGCCGCCCCACCGCCTTCCGCGATGTAGCCGCCGTGGGAGAGGCCGGCCGTGGGGAGGAGAGGGGAGGGGAGGAGAGGTGAGGGGGAGGGGTGCGTTTTGAGACTTAGAAAAAATCTAAGTCTATCAAAAGTCTATTTATATTCAAGTCTATTTTCGCAGGCGGACCGGCACATTCATCCCGATTTATATTTTTGTAAGCGGTCATTTGGCTCTAAGGGTTATGTGAAAATGAGACCCCTACATTGGGAAAAAATGCCTTTTCTAGTAGTGTATCTAGTAATTACTAGACTAAGTAAATTCCAATTAATTACTTGGTAGATATAGATATGCAAGCATCCAATTGAGCAACTTGAATCTGTATGGGACATATATATATACTTTGTATGTCCTAGGACTAACAATTAGTTCAACTTTATCTCTCGTGCATATGCTGAAGGCACCTTTATGTGTGTGTAGTGGTACACGTGTGAAGCAACTCGGTGTGTGCATGTTCTCTCCCTCTCTCAAAAAGAAAAAAAAAGAAAAATGTTATACACGTTGTTATCGAATTATTAGATAAAATCAAAAGTGGAAAGTTCATTGGATGTCCAAGCCTAGTTGCTCTATCCCCACTTTATAAAAGGCTGCTAGATATGCCCAGTGGAAAATGCAGGAACTAGATCCTTATATATTATTCCCTTCTCTCCCCAGCCTATGATATATTTTTTCCCATAGTCCAGTCCGAGGCATGTTTTGTCTGCCCAAAATGAATAATGAAAAAAAAGACACCTAAAAATGAAATTAAACATAAAAAAAATAAGAAATATGCATATCTATACTCCTTTAATTAAAAATAAGTAGTGGTGCCACCGCCAATTCTCTATCTTTCTGAAGTAGAGAAAGGATATGTGAGGTCAGAGAGCCTACGTATCAATCACCCATAGTGGTGTTTGAAACTCATGAAGTTGAAGATTAAGTGACCGCACGTAAAACAAAAAGCTATTAGCACATAATTAATTAAGTCTTAATTATTATAAATTTGACAAATGGATATATTTGATATTTCAAAACAACTTCTATATAGAAAATTTTCACACAGAACATTGCCATTTAGTAGTTTGAAAGACGTGCTAACGAAAACCGAGATAAAATTAAATCTATATCTTCATGAGAAAATAACAGGGCACAGACCAACATATTAGTCCTTAAATATACGTAGAAATTTACGAGATGCATAAAAAAAGTAATGATAATAACATGTTAATGATGATTTCAATTAATTAAAATTTCGTTGCGAATACACAAGCGTCAGGCAATATGCTACTCCCTCCATCCACAAAAGTTACACCTATTTCGCATTTAAGTTTTTCCAAATAAGTTGTTTCTATTTGTAGTCTTTATGCATTCAAGATTTAAATGAAGAGATAAATTAAATATTTTATGAGAACCCAATGAGTCATCTAAATACTTATTGGTTGTATGCTTGTATTCACTACTTGATTTTGTAACATCCAAGATGATTTAATTTTTCCTTGGTCTTGGTATCAAAACTAATGTAACTTTTGTGGATGGAGAGAGTAGTATACTAAATAAACCAAAAATTCTCATGGTTTCTTACCACTCTATAAAGCAACAAAGTAAAGTCATTTTTTTTCCAACACAACAAAAAGGTCCTTTGATTCCTTTGCTTGCACTACCTCCTCACATTCAATTCCACCATCTTTTCTTCTTCTTCTTCTTCGCATTTAAGTTTGGGAAAGCATCGAAAGGAGAGCGACGTTTCATGTTATACTTGGCTGTGATGAGGAGGAGAAAAAGGGCAGCAAAGCGTAGTGCTTTCCACCACCTCCACAGCGACAGACAGACAGGTTTGGTGATCCACAAGCAGACGCTACGCTGTGGCTCAAATGGGCTAATCACATCACACACACATATATACTAGACCGCATATGGGCCAAGAAAATGCAGCAAAACTCCAACCAACCTTGCGTTTCTTTGTTGGTGAAGAAGCCAACTGGCCAAGTGCCAGTCTGACACTTGTATATCACTTCCCAAAACAACCAAAAAAAACTTTTATCAAGGAAAAAAAAAAAGCCATGTCAAAATGGTTTTTCTTTATGCTGTGCCTCGTTCTTATCTTAATAATTAAGATGTAGATTGGACATTGGTTTTCATTAACACGTTTTTTAAATTGTTAAACAGTGTGTTCGTGTGAAAACTCTTTATACATAAGTTGCTCTAAAATATCAGATAAATCCATTTTTTTAGTTTATAAAATTAAAAGTCAATTAATCATACGCTAATGATTTTCTCGTTTTATGAGCACTTATTTAATCTTCAACTTCATAAGTTGTGAACGGGGAATCATCTGAAATAGCTACTGGACAATGCCACACATTTATTTTTAGAGTAAATATCAAAGACCATTTGTGAAAAAGAAAATCATGTCTAAGATAATCCTTTCAAAACACTCTAGCTTCAGAAGCCCCCATGTGGAGATCACGGTAAGGGATATGCTTCCAAGATCAGACAATTGTTCTGTCTACACACATGAACAAAGTTCACTGTTTCGTTTTTGTTATTATTGTTTTTATAAGGTGTATGTGCATTTTGAATTCAAAACTTGTAATATTCGACCAGAAATTATTGCTACAATCAATGGGTTTAGAATCATATATGGAAATATCTTCAGGTAATTCTCCTGCTTTATCAATACAGCGAGCAGTTCTCCTGCATGCTTGCTTCAGAAATACATATCATAAATTTTGTTGGTATTGACAACATTTGCAAGGGCTAAAGAACTGCACGCAAAATTTCAATTTCAAAAAAATCATGCTGAATCAAACTGATTGATTATTAGTTAGTCAGGACGTAATTTCCCAAATTATGCCTGAATAAAACAGATACAGCTGGTGGCTCATCCTACCACTACTGGGAGGTTGGAACTCTAGAAGTCATCTCTCCCATTCTGCATCAATTAGAAATATACACATCTCTAGCCTAGATCATTTAACCCAATTTTGTATATCCTATCATCAGATCATCCTTCTTGCACACAAAATACTGGCTCTTGTCATAGGAGAAAAAAAATCTCAAATGGTAAATGGTAAGCTACGAACAAGGAGTTCTTGTTCCAACAAAGCCAAACCCCATCACAGTGAATGCAACAGCTTGGAGGTAGATGTAGATGTAGTATTTATGATTTCCAAGAACGAAATCATACGATGCACATATAAGGAGATAGAGCGCAAGCAAGAGCTCAGGAATGTAAATCCTGCAAAGGCAAAGGTTGAAATCTGAGAGACGTTCTTGAACATGTATTTTATTCTTTCAGCATTGAAAGTAAACTGTGCTTTGCTCCCGAAAAAAGGGATGATGTAAAATTTATTATTGGTTGCTACACTTACCTTTCAGCACATTCAGTGGGCTTCAGTGGTTCAAGAAGTGGGACATCAAGCTCATCCTTCACCTGATCACCTACTTTTTCAGTAACTACCCAATCATTTGCACGTGCAGTTTCAAGTAAACCGCTTAGAGCTGCACGCATACGGTGCATGGCCATGACATTCTCAAATAGAATCCAGAATGGCATGAGATGGACTGACCTATCATATTGCATAAGATAATCTAGATAAGTCGGCAGTAAGAAAGTACATAGGAGGCTGTACTAGTAGGAAAGAGCCATGCGTTACCCTGGATTTCTGATGGCATTCATAATAGTAATGGCTGTGGGAATATAGACCAGGCCCCACACAGGAATAGTGACTTCAGGAACCATGGCAGACAATGGGATGACAATACAGTAGAACAAGAAAGTCAGGATGGGAGCAATGGCTCTCCGTACGAAGAAAAAACTGTACAGAAGATGATATTTCTTCCACATTGATACCTCCTACATCAAACATAGATGATAATAGTGTTACAAGATAACAAGACAAACTTTTGTCTTTTGGGGAGAGGTTCAAGAAGGCAAACCTTGTTTGTAATAATTTCCCATGCCATTTTTCTGAAAAGATTGGCAGCACCACATGTCCATCTATGTTGTTGGTGACGGTAGGCCTGGAAGGTACTTGGGAGTTCACTCTTCACCTGTGTAATATTAATAATTTCAATGCTGTCAAGGCACAGCATAACACATGCTAGTCATATGCCCATCGAAAAGCATATTAGGTTCAGAGGGAGTGTGAGACATACCCTTATATCACCAACATACAAGAACTCCCATCCCTTTAGGCTTGCCCTTACAGCCAAATCCATGTCTTCCACAGTGGTGCGGTCTTTCCATCCTCCAGATTGATTAATAGCAGATACGCGCCACACACCAGCTGTACCTGTAGGCAAGGTTGCTATTGTTTTGGTACATGTACACTTCACGCTAAAATATCAAGCAAGATTGAAGCTTCAAGTAAATGGCTACGAGAAGTCGAGAACAGCTCTTACCGTTGAAACCAAAGAATGCGTGCATAAATGAGCCTGACTCTTGCTCCACTTTGAAGTGGTAGTCCAGTGACATCTTCTGTATCCTTGTCATCAGGCAAACATTGTAGTTCACTGCAAAATCACCCGGCAAAGGCCAGGTCAGGAACATCCTGTAATCAGAATAAACAAAACTACTCATTTCAAGTTATCGATATTACCACTGCCATAGAGAGGGGGTAAATTGCAGCGGAACATCATTAGTAATCAGAATAAATAAATTAGTGCTTAAAATTGTCAACCTAGATAATATCATGCATCTTTACTGAAGAGTGGGTAGAAATTGTTAGTCCTCTGTTCATGTTATATGTTTCTCAGCCAAAAATGTTACTTAAATCACCATACTGTTTAGGTTTAGCTATTTGTAGGACTAAGGAAATATACATATCATAATGCATATTTGTGAGATGGAGTTAGTATTTTGAACCACCGTTGCTTCATATGCAGTCCTGTTTATGGAAGGTATCAATATCCCAATTATGAAGTAGTTACAATCATAAAACTTTGAAGACTTGCGTCAAAAAAAAAAAAAAACTTTGAAGACACTGATCTGACTTTGAGCACAAATGCCCATATCAGTAAGCATGGCAGTTTGAGGAGAAACATAAGCTTCAAAAATTTTAAGAGCAAGGGTCTCAATGTCTCATACTTTGTCAAGATGTAGTCTACAACTCTACATTTTGTGGCAAGTCCAGTACTTTGTTAGGAATCTCAATCCTTATGTTTAATACTTCTTGGGGCAGGAAGAAAAATATCTCACGGGAACACATCCCTGGGTATGTGCAAACTCGGATGTGGACCATTGGATGAAGATGAGGTTTGAATGGACTTATAGATGCTTAAGTGCCACATGGATAAACATTTTGAAACCACTTAGATTGAAAAATCACGATGAGTCATGAGTGATCACAACCTCAAGACCCTCTACATCCAATCCATCAAAACCTCATCTAACGGACAATTTCTGAATTTGAGAACATCTAGATATGCTTGCATTTTTGTACTCTTTTGAAGGAAGAGATGCCTTCGTTAGAAACATTCACTATTGAACATTAAGCATGCAACAATGAAGAGGAACCAGTAAGTTGGCAATGCACTTTCCATTCCTCATTCTTGATGCTCCATACTACTTAGTACTTTGACAGACGATTGTCATTTTGACAATACATGATTCTCTCTGCTTCATTTCTTCCATTCCGTTTGCATGATAATGAAAGTACAGCAACAATATCTAACAATGGTAGCAGTATGCTTACCAAACTCCCAACGTGTCTGCACAAGTGCAATCTTTGGATTGTGCAAAAGATATGGCATGGTTTTTAAGAGGAAGTCTGATTCAGGCTCGAAATCTGCATCGAAGATAGCAACAAAGTCACACAGTTGTGCATATGTATGCTCCATGCCTTTCCGCAGGGCTCCTGCTTTGTATCCCTTCCTGTTGTTTCTAACCTCATACTTGATATTAATTTTCTTGCTGGCCCATTCCTTACATTCAAGCTCCACTAATTCCTGTACTAATGAAAACTAATTAAAAGAATATAAAGGCATAATAATCTCAAGACAAATACTAAATGAATAACACACACCGAAAAAAAAACAATGCATTAATATTTAAAGTTTCCGTTTGTCAATCACCTCACTTCCAATTTTGCACTAATTAGTTGGTTTCATGAAGAGTTTGTGTTTGCTTACTGACCAAGTGACTAAACGATTCTATCCAAACAAGTAAGCAAAACAGAAAGAAAGTATTATGTGGCAATCAAGTAACTCATAGATTCGTAAATCAAGTACTTTAACAAGGGTGCATAAATGCATAAGTACTACATATAACAATTATTCTACTTGATAAATCACAGTGACATGGTTTTGTCTCCATGTTGCCTAAATTCATTTCATCACATATATCCACACTATAACAAAAACAATTCACGGAAATAAGATTTGGAATTTGTATAGACTATTCACTGAAGGAAGTCCATTAGTTCGATGCTTCTGCCACCTATCTACATTCGAATGATATTGATTCTAGTCCTTAAAGAAATAACAATGAGTTAAATACTGTATGATTTGCTTAGGGAAATTTGAGAAGCATTGTTCTGTACGAATATACAGAACATTTCACAAGAGCATCACAGCAACCAAATTTTGGCATGGAGTTAACACAAGGCATTTGTTTCTTTTTTTTTTGGACAATCAAGACAAACTTTTTGTCACCGAATGACGTTAAGACTTGGAATTTATACGGACTAATCACTGAATGACGCGCATTCGTCCTATGCTTCTGCCACCTATCTACATTCAAATGACACTGATTGTACTAATCCTTAAAAACAAATGAATAATGGGTTTAAGTACCATATGATTGATTTATGGAGATTTGACCAACATTGGAATGTACGTAACAGTTTACATTTCCCATGAGCATGACAGCAACCAAATTTTGACCCCTTTTTTTGGACAACCAAGACAAGCTCTTGTCACTGAAACCTAGGCTTACTTTAACGAAAGGATCAGTGGAGTCATCCAAGACTTGGATTATGATACGGTCCGGTGGCCACGTGAGCGCGCACGCCGCTCCGATGGAGAGCTTGTACACCTGCACAAAAAAAAAAAAAAAAAAAAAAAAAAAAAAAAAAAAAAAACCCCACCAACAATTCTAGGATTAAATGCGATGAATCAACGGGGGGAGAGAGGACTAGGCGGGCGGAATGCAGGAACGGGCGGGGCGGGGTCACCTCACCTCCTTCTCGTTGTACATGGGGATCTGCACGAGCACCATGGGGAACTCCGCGGGCGCGGGCGCGGGCGCCTCGACGTCGGGCGGCGCGGCCATGGGCTCCCAGCGGTAGCCGTACCCACGGAGGCGCCTGGCGGCGGCGGCGGCGAGGCTGGCGAGGCCCATCCAGGCGGCCTCGGCGACGAGCATGGCGGACATGGCGAGGCACGCCCACACCGCGGCCCGCAGCGCCGGCGCCACCGCCCACGCCCGCACCGCCGCCGCCCACGCCGCGGGCAAGGACGACGAGGAGGAGGAGGCCATGGGTTTGCTTGCGGCGGGAGGAAGGGATCGGCGGGCGGCGGTGGGCGGCGCGTGCAGCTTTTTGAAAGGGAGGAGGGGAGGGGGGTAGGTTTGGGTGGTGGTGGTGAGGAGTGGACGCGACGGCAGCCAAGACCTTTTTTGCGATGGAGCCCCTCCATTTGTGCTCATATTTCACTTCTACTACTACTTACTCCTTCCGTTTCACGTTACGATTATACGTTTTAGCCTTTTCCGTAGTATTTTCTTGGAAACTATGATACCATATCCGTATTCATATCTCTTCTGTTTCACGTTATAAGGCACGTTTTAGCATTTTCGTCCCTCCGTAATATTATATGTATTTGTTGGAAACTATCGTACCATATCCGTATTCATATCCCTTCTGTTTCACGTTATAAGACACGTTTTAGCCTTTTCGTCCCTCCGTGTTATTATTCGTATCGGTTGGGAACTCTAATATCATATCTGTATTTGTATCCAGAGGAAAAAAAATTGTATCCGAACGATATCCATATTTGTTTTTCTCTTGAGTGGATGAAAACTATCCGCTCTGTTTTCATCCAAATTCTTCTAGATTCACTAAGATCTACTCTCTCCATCCAAAAATATAAACAACCAAAATCCCTTGTATTTTGGGACAAAGGAAGGATTTAGACACATGTATAAAGTATATATGTGGATCCATTTATTAATCTATTTAAAATCTAAATATCTTATATTGTGAAATAGAGGAAGTAGTAGTAATTTTATAATGTGAAATGGAGGAAGTAGTAGTAATCTTGTTCTCATGGTACTTCCCCATGGTATGTTTAAAACAATTTACAATAAAAATAATAAATGTTTTTAAAATCTTTTGTTGAAAACTAAGGTTTGTCTTTCATACTAGTATAAGTACTACTATGTCCCACTCCTATGTGGAATATCCCATCAGTGATGCTCTTGTTTGAGAACTTCATTAATGATTATAAAGACATTTCGGCGCATCATTAACTAGTTCTATTTAAAAGTTTGGTATCTGATGTCATTTTCAGCTGTGTTTTTTTAAATGTGTTGGAAGCCAATCTCCCGTGCACACAAAAAGAGTAACTCATTAACGCATAGTTAATTAAATATTAGCTATTTTTTCTTAAAAAGGATTGATATAATTCTTTAAAATAATTTTTATATAATATTTAAAAACATATTGTTTAGTACTTTAAAAATGCTTGCGTGCCGGTTGGAAAAAGAGGAGAAAGAACACAACCTAAAAACTAAAAACTACGTGCGATGAGAACAGCAAAACAAAAATAGTACTCCATCCGTCCCATAATATAAGGGATTTTAACTTTTTGCTTGTACTATTTGACCATTCGTCTTATTTAAAAAATTTTGAAATTATTATTTATTTTATTTGTGACTTACTTTATTATCCAAAGTACTTTAAGCATAACTTTTCGTTTTTTATATTTGCACAAATTTTTTAAATAAGCTGAGTGGTCAAGCAGTACAAACAAAAAGTCAAAATCTCTTATATTATGGGACGGAGGGAGTATTAGGGTAGGGACAGGTGAGGAGGTGGTGGGCATGAAAAACAGGAAGTAAAAACCATGTACAACCAAATTCACTTCATGGGTGTTCCCACTAACCGGAGCCACTTCATGGGATAGCCATCTCTCAATGGGGGGTACTCGTAGCCGAGTTCTTCAAAATCTCAAGTTATCGGGTAGAGGTACTCTAACCCACATTGGGGTGCCTCAACCCACGTAGCCACATGTATTTTTTCCTCTCCTACCCTTACTTTTTTAGCCCATCTCTTCTCTTCTCTTCTCATCGCCTCTCTCTTCGCTCTCTCTCCCTCTTCGCTCCCAATGACGCCGCCCCACCGCGCCGCCTCCAACTCAGGCCTAGCGCGCCGCCATGGTGGCCGACGACGAGCAGCGGGTGGCTGATGGCGCGTGAGCTCCCCCGCTCTCTCTTTCAAAGCATGGGAGCGGGGCGCGGTGGCCAACGGCGAGCGGCGGTTGGCTGATGGCGCGCAAGCTCCACCGCTCTCTCCCTCTCTCTTTCATAGAACGGGAGCGGGGCGCGGTGGCCAACGGCGAGCAATGGATGGCTGACGGCACTCTCTCCCTCTCTCTTCTGTCGCCGTCCTCCCCGCCTTGCACCGTCATCGTCCTCCCTGCATCGCGTCGTCGCCGGCCTCCTCCGCCTCGCGACGTTGCCGTTCAGGGGCGAAAGATCCAGCGCCGTCATAGGCGGATCTGCCAAACCCCCCCCTCCCACCGGCTAGGTCGGGATGGAGCGGCACTGGCCATGCTGCATCGAGGAGGAGGCAGAGGTGGTGGCGGGAGCGGTGCCGACGGAGGAGGTCATGATGGTGGCTGTAGCTGTGTGCAGGCTCATCTTGCTCCACTCCACCGGATGGAGGCCTTGTCGGCGGCTGAGGCGAGAAGGGCAAGAAGGAAAATCCAAAAGGGATGAGGCAGGGAAGACGGGACCATGAGCCGTGGCTTAGGAAAAGGGAGTGGAGGCCCTCGTTCCCCTCGTGGGGGTCACGCCTCCCTCCAGGGGCATGGCCCGGCGACGGAAGCGGGACGGCGTTTACGAAGGAAAGTGTAGTGTACTTCACTCCGAACACACTTCCTGACACAAGACTACTTTCTCTGTCCTAAAAAAACGAAGCTAGAACTAGATATATCTAAGTACAGTAAATCTGAACAGGTTTATTGTATTAGAATATGTCATATCTAAGTAATACTTAGATTTGTGCTTTTGTCCGACGGAGGAAGTATGAACAAGGCATAGAAGCTATGCCCGCCAAAGAGAACCATTAGCATTTCTCTGAATGCGAAGGTTACGTAACTTGCTCCTCCAATAAATTCCGCTGCCAAATTTAAATGTTTATTTTCCAGGGCTATGATGGAATCCATTTGCGTAAACCGCAATTCAGACTATAGTAATAGAAAATTACAAGGTTCCGTCTGGCAGGTTCAAAGAGAAATCTACAAGTTAACTCGTCAATAGATGCACTTTTACGAGGCAATGAACAACCAAATAGCAGAATTCCAATTGTCTAATCGATTTCAACACAAATAACAACAGATGTGCGCCTAGAACAAATTTAAGAAAAATTCACCAAGAGATACAGGAGATAAATATTGGTCCCACTTCAGAGTCAACCAAAAGAAAACCCTGCGAATCCTAAAGCAAAAGCACATAATGCTGATGATAAGCAAATATGTACCAACGGTACTCAGCTTGATTTCAAAAATTATTGTTCCTGGTTCAGAACACGTTTTAATGTTCAACAAGAAAAGGATTTATAGTTTAGAACCTGATATTATGAGTTCAACCAAAAAAAAAAGGCTTCTAGTTCAGAACATCATTCTATGGAATCAAATAAAAAAGTTTACGTTATAATGGTCTCAAATGGGATGATGGATCCTACAATCTCAGTCTATGGATCTTCCTTCTGTACAGTTTGACTAACAATAATACCTTCATGGGACATGCACAATTCTCTAACCAGTATCAATCAGTACTATGGCCCTGTTCTTTTCAAGGAATGGATATAGAAGACTAGAAGTTGCTCTTTTATCAACATGATAACCATTAGCTTCTGGGCAAAAAACGTCAAAGCTCACTTAACAGGAGAAAGGCCAGGTCATCAGAGCAAGCATAGTTTAGTGGGTAAAGCAATCATCTTGTTTTCCCCTCCCTTTTTAGTTGCCCTTCTGGGATCCACTAAAGCAGCTCTTGAAATGCTACAAGCATTTCATTGGAATATATCAATGATAAGTGATCACATATCAAATCCAAGCTAAGTACCATAGTACTATCAGTACATGATTCTGTAGTTAATTGGTGGCATGCATTCTGACAGAATACTACTATCTCAGGGATATTTCTTCAGCCCCTCAACAATTCACCATGCTAACTACGACCAGCTTGCTAGAGTTATGGTCTGATTTCCAAAACTTGTATTTAGTACATATGCAATCTATTCTTAGCCCTCTCATAAGGAAAGCAACAAGCAGCTCAAGCTCTACAGAGTCCCGGCTTGTTTGGGTTTTAAAGTTCAGGGTGGATCACTGTGGCATTTCATCAAACAGTTGATAAGTGCAGCAATCGACACCAATCCAACCACAGTTACCACTGTGATGAGAACTAGTAGTGTGCATGGTAGAAGCCAAAGCTAGCACAGGTCTAGGAAAACCAGGGGCAGCAGGATAATTGCAAAGCCACCAAACAGATTGGCTTACAGTTAATGGCATGTTGAAAAGGCAGGTGCCCTGCCTAACAGGTAATGGCATGTTGAACACAAGAGACCGGAATTGTGGAATTGACTAGTTTATTGAACTCATAGCAACCATGTCATGGAAATTATCTAGCAAACATAATAACATCTCAGTTTTAGTTGCACCGATCACTGCAGCTTCATCTCCATGATGCTCTTGGCCTTTGGGGCGTACAGAGAGTACACCACCGCCTGCCGCTTTGCCACCTCCAGCTGCTTCTTCCCGTCCGCGAACACTGCCGCCGCGGCAACCGCATCGCCGAGGGCACGGTTCTCACGGAAGGCGTCCGCGGCGCGGCGGCGCGCGTACTCGCGGATGTTGTAGTCAGAGAACTGCCTTGCCGTGCGGAGGAGGGACCGGAAGAGGGACAGCGCCTCCGCTCTCGTCGGTGCTGCCGCCATGGATGCGCTTCGTCACGGATGCTGTTCGTGCGCTAGAGAACTACTCCAGAATCCAGATAGCTGCTTGGGCTAATGGCGGCAAGGGAAAGAAAAGAGGAGATGCCCCTGAACCTGAACCCCACATGGCAAGAATGCAAAGGATTATTAGACCGCCTCTTGACTAGTATAGTACTAGTAACAAACAATAATGAATGAAAATTGAAAGCTAGTACTAGTAATAGTATAGCAATAGCTTCAGCAGTTAGTGGCACTGACCATCTCTGTAAGAAGTGAATAAACAGTGACTGTAAGAACTAAGAACAAGCATGATTCCAGCAAGTAATTCTAACAACACAATTCAGATACCCAAGAACTGTCAAATAGCTAAAAAGGCAGCACTATACAAAGAAGTTCAAGTGTAGATCATAGAAAATTCCAGTGAATTCTCATGAGCAAAATCAGTTGACTATTATTAACTACACCGCTTCATTGTTTTTGTAGATAACAGACGACTATGATGCATATACATCATTACAGCTTTGGACCAAAGCCCTGCAATATAATACCTGATCTGAGGGCAAAACATAACCTCAAAGAATGAAATCAAATGAGTTGGACATAAAATAAAAAAAATTTCCCTTTCTAGGGGAGCTTAGTTAGCAAAGGGCAGAATTATCTGCAACCACGCTTGTCCTACGGAACATTATAGATGAATCAACCAGGGGCGGATCCAACTTGGGACAAACTTTTGGGTGAACAAACAAACTGTTATTACTTGAATTAAGAGAGGTTTAAGGCTATCAAATTAAGGAGGAGGAGAAGATCTAGAAGAGAAGCTAGTAGGGTTCACGAAGGCAAGCAAATTCCAGCCCCGGTGGGGTGGGAGAGAGAGAGAGAGAGATGAATCAGAAAGAGGACGCGGATGCTCACCAGGATCCCCTCCCCTCCGCTGCTCTGCTCGCCAGATGGAGATCGCCACCCGGCCCTCCCCTGTTCAGCCGCGACTCGTCTTGGCGGCGGCGCAAGGAGCGGAGGAGACAACGAGAACGAGACCAAACGGGAGATTTCTTTTTCTTTTTCGCGATATACTCTCGACTACTCCGCCCTTATCTTAATATTTTATTTACTACTCTCTCTGTTCTAAAATAAAATAAGTACAGTTTTATATTATTTACATTTGACGTTTTACCGTTTATCTTATTTGAAATTTTTTTATGACTAGAAAAAATACCCGTACGTTGCAACGGGTAAAGCCTATTTTAATCTTATTATTGTTATATGGTTTAGTTAAAATGAAATTCACTGTGGGAGTTCGCTTGGATATATATTTTTTTAGAAAATCATAGGCTGCAGTTAGGAGTCTGATCGTCTCAAATTAGCATGAGTTTTTTTAAACAGATTTCTTATATGATTCTTTCTTTATTAACAAAAGTGAACGACCTTAAAAACCGACTCAAATACGGATATGTATTTCCAAAAGTAATCGAACTTAAAAACCGACTCATACACGGATAACGTACTAAAATACCGACAAAAACATCTTTAATTTTTATAATAGTAGATATTAATATTTTTATTATTATTAGATGATAAAACATGAATAGTTTTTTACGTGTGACTAATTTATTTTAATTTTTTCATAAACTTTTCAAATAAGACGGACGATCCAAAGTTTGACATGAATTTTCACGGCTGCACTTATTTTAGGACCGAGGTAGTATTTTAAAACTAGCTAGTACTATTTCTTTATATAACTGGTGACCCACGTATCATCAATACTTAAGGAAAAATTAAGCGATTGTGTCAACAACAAATTCCTCATACCACAAGCAACTAACTGCCACTCTACACACCGTCATCACCGCTCTTTCTCCATGAGCCACTATCGTTCCTCCTCTTTGCCTTTACATGCGCAACCTTATCCTCTAGTAACTGACATGTCTTTTTCTCCTACCCTATTGTGATGCACACTATTGTTATGGTTGCCGTTAAGGTCGGGGATGTCGAGCTTGCAGGGACTTTGGGAGGCAGGAACCGACCCAACAAAGAACGAATGTGCTATATCCGGGCTCCTTCTTGCTAGATCTATCGGTTATCCAAAATGGAGAGAGAGAGAGAGAGAGTTAATGTGCGGAGTGATTGCTGAGTCGTCGGACTTGGAGATGGATAGAATAAGGTGATCTAAATTGAAATGTAAAGTTAGCTATTGTGTAAATGAAAATAATGGTTAAAGAATAACATTATATGAAAAATTTTAAGAATTTTTAAGAATACATAGTATGGACTGTAATTTACTCCCTTTGTCCCAAAAAAACGAATCTAGAACTGGTGTGGCATATTCTAGTACAACAAATCTGAACATATGCATATCTAGATTCGTTTTACTAGGATGTGACACATCCAGTCCGAGGTTAGTTTTTTATGGGACGGAGGGAGTACTTTTTTTTCTCTAGCACAATTAAGGATAATTGTCCATTACCCGATAGTCTTGTGATATACTAAGTATGGTTGGGCTAGTGTACTTAGCTATAACTAATAATATCATGATATGTTGATGCATGACGATATAAATTTCTATTAACACGGACTGATTAATTATGGTTAGATAGATTTCATTAAAACATGATAAAAATAATACCATCATTTTTGCTCAATAATAAAGCATTCGCCTGTGGTCTTCTTTTCTCATTGCATTATATATGATGACTATATTAGTACATATTTTCGTAATTCTTTCGTATTGTTTTTTATTTTCTACATATATGTTAATTTGGACTAATATTTTTATCATAATTAAATAGATAATAAATCATTTTTCCATATTTCTCCTATAAAATGAGAATAGGGCATTTTATAATTTGAAAATTATATTATAAGTGTATGTAATTTAATGTGTAAGATATGAACTTACAGTATAAATTTTAACTTTTTCTAAAAATGCCGCATCATAGTAGATAGGTAATTAAGCGAACAACCATAAAAAATAGAGACAATCCATTGTGTGTCACTGATTTTGTCCCTGCTCTACAATATGTCATTGGGTTTGTCAAGTTCTAATATGGCATTGTATTTTGCTTAACTTCTATAATATACCATTGTCGTCTAGATAGCCTCCGTTAGCATTGTACAATTTTATCATACAGATTGTAAAACTTACAAAGTTTAAGATAGGCAACTTCTCTGCCTAGTTTATTATATGATATTTTGGAATTTTCGGCCAAACTTTGAAAATTTTTTGTCCTAGGGATATTTCAATCATTAGGACAAAATTATAGAGTACTAACAGAATCTAAATGGACGGCAATGGTATATTATAGAATTTAAGCAAAATACAATGACATACTGTAGAACTTAACAAACTCAGTGGCATATTATTGAACAAGGACAAAGTCAGCGGCACACGATGGATTCTCTCTTAAAAAATAATCAAGTTAAATTGTTTCTTTTTTATTCAAAACAAAACATCTTTTACCTAAAATATGTTTAGAGAACTTCGAAAGAAGTAAGAAAAAGAGGGGGTTAGTAACTAGCCCAAACACATGAGGGTGGTTGCTCAAATTTATGGTATGGCATATACTCACATTAATCGATAATATACTAATATTATTAAAATTGTTCTTTGTAGTAAATGGTGTGAAACTAAAAACTTTAACTTTATATTCTTCTGTTGTTCCATCTTCTTCTTGTTTTCTCATTCTTATTTTTTTTAATAATAATATTGCTACAGCTAGCACTATTACTTGCACATGAATACTACTCCCTCTGTCCCTAAATATAAGGGATTTTAGCCTGTCTAGATTCGTTGTACTAGGATGTGTCACATCCAACCAAAATCCCTTATATTTAGGGACGGAGGGAGTAGCAGCTAGCTCATGTGTGTGTGCTCCGTAATATATATTATATATGTTTTTACATGAGAAAATAATAGTATTTTCTTTGTTAATGATATTGTATTTATAAAAGGTACCTGACTAGTTTTTTTTAAAAGAAAGATATTTTTCTAAACATAATCTAGAATGATATAAATGTTAATAATATTAAACGATATAGCCATATAAATTTTTTTGGATGAACTAGTGATCAACACTTGTTATTAATCCAATGATCATAATGCACTATATATATCGTTCAAGTGAGTTGTGACATTCACTATTTACTAGTTACATACCTATGCATTACAATAAGATCTACGTATAAAAATAAGATTTAGTTTATTTCTAGTCTGGTTTTTTATGATGTATTGGATTATTTTACATTTCTTTAAAGATAATATTGTATAACAATTAGATAATTTATTGTTTTATAAATAAATTAGTTTATCGTACCTCATTTATAAAATCCTATATCCGCCACTGGAATCACCAACTAGCTAAGAAACTTTTATTGGGGGAAAGAAAAGAAATCAAAATTTTACTTATTATAACTAGGTTAATGCCAATCAGCAAGAGAAAAGAAGCTGCTTCCCAGTTTCAGATCTACTAGCAAAAGAGAGCTATGATTAATGCGAGCGAATTTCTAAGACGGAAGTGGGTGGGACTGGGAGAAACAGAGATAAACGAGAGAGAAGATTCGGATGCTCACCGGAATGCGGCGGAAGCACAGGACGGCGGCGGCGGCTCTGCTCGCGAGATGGAAACCGGCGCGGAGACGACGAGATGGGGATATAATGTAGATTTCCCTGTTTTTTAGGTTTATTTTTTGAATTACTGTAGAGCTGATGATTTTTTTTTCAGCCAAAATTGTAACATCGGATCGGCTATAAGTTTCGTACTGTGTTATTGGCCCTGCCCAGATAATAAATCTGGTTAAGCCTGTTTTGGTTTGTCAGCCCCAATGTGCGGTTTGTCAGCCCCAATGTGCCCACGTGGTTACGTCCATTTATCCACGGAAAATTTAACTATTTATTATCATTTTTTATTATGCCTGTTATTAGGACCGAACTAGAAAAGAAAACCAGAACCATGCCCTTAGCCAATCCAGATAAAAGATCAGCCATGCATTCGAGCCACTATAAACTAGTTGAATCGGACGGGTTTTTTTTAGAACCAGATAAAACCCAAAACCTTCCCGTTTCCACCAACCATACTATGGCCCTGTTTAGATCCCACCCTAAAATTTTTCACCTTATCACATCGAACGTTTGAATACTTGCATGAAGTATTAAATATAGACTAAAAAAATAACTAATTATACAGATTGTGACTAATTTGTTAGATGAATCTTTAAGCCTAATTGCTCCATGATTTGATAATGTGGTGCTACAGTAAATATTTGTTAATGATGGATTAATTAGGCTTAATAAATTCGTCTCTCAGTTTACAGACGGATTATTTGTTTTGTTATTAGACTACGTTTAATACTTCAAATGTATGTCCATATATTCAATATCACACGACAAAAATTTTTACCCCTATCTAAACACAGCCTATCTATTGGTAAATCTAAAACTTTACAACACGTGTGAATTTGAGCGGCTTTAAACTATTGGTTTGAGCGATCACCGGTCCAACAAAGAAACCATTGAACCAAGTGTCTCAACGGTTCAATCACCAATCTGTTCCTAATAAATACGCTTGATATGTTTGGCAATTAGTATCAAACATAGACCGAGTTTAGTTCCAAACTATTTCATTAAACTTCTAACTTTTCCATCACATCAAAAATTTTCTATATACATAAACTTCCAACTTTTCCATCACATCGTTCTAATTTCAATCAAATTTTTAATTTTAGTGTGAACTAAACCCACCATAGCCTAGTCTTTAGGTGGACACTCGCATCGCCGGTCGGACAGAACCACGTGATATCAGCATGCCTGTGGATGGCACCAACAATCAGCGACTATTTTTAGTCACCGGCTTGCTCTCTCTTATCCCGCCTTTCTCCTCCAGATCATCACGAAAAACGACGTGGCATATATATCGCCAGCAATAGCTACTCTTAGGGTAGACTACAGGTCATAATCACAGCAAGTTTAATAGTATAGTTAACTATTGGCTATTAGCTTATACCAAGGCCGCGTTCTTTTTCAGCTGTTGCGTTGGGATGATTAGCTTCAAGTAAAATGAGAAACGCGATTAGCATATAATTAAGT